CCCCAAAACCCCAAAACCCCAAAACCCCAAAACCCCAAAACCCCAAAACCCCATCTAATTTCAATTTTATAGAATATTATTTCATAGTATCAAATAATGAGTGGAAAGAAGTCACAAGTAATGAGCAATCTCAAGGCAATTAGCAGGAGGAATTGCCTGTCACCACAAAAAATGTTCAAACAGATAGAGCTAGATCTCTCAGAGCATGACACTTATATCCAAGATTTATCCTCAGGGCACTAAAAACATTGACCAGGAATGAAACTACCTCTAGTATTGGCACAAAGCTTATTGGAGATGAAAGAGAAGAAGTCTGCCTAGCGAATAATACACATGGGTTGAACACCAGGTTTGGATCCAAAAATGTCTCCCCTTTGCATGCTCTTAGAGATCAAGCAAATCTTAAGCTGCGACCTTTTAATGTCAGAACTTGTCAAGATGATGAGAGTTTGAGCATGAGCAATTTCAGAATTAATGATTCATGACATGAAATACCCTTCTTTGGGGAACAATCTGGGAATAACTTCAAATATGAGCTCCATATAGCATGTTTTGAAGGAGATTCAGAAATAGTTAACAGAATTCTCACGAAACCCAACTCTGTTATAAATTTAAACCTTAAAAACAAGCTTGGATTAACCGCGCTCGATAGAGCGATAGAAGGTAAGAGAGAAGAAATCATAAAAATCCTGCTGAATGATGTCCGCTGCAACGTAAACACTGGTGGTGGAGAGAAACGATCAGCACTAAATTTTGCAGTGCATATCCTAAGCCCATCAGCTACTAAGAGCATCCTAAATTCTTCCAAATTTATTGACTTTAACATTGTTGATGATAAAGGGAATAATGTGTTTCATATTTTGTTTGATAAATATTGAGATGAAAACTCTCAAAAATGCACTCAAGTGTTGGAAATGCTATTCAAGAGTATCTCACCAAGTCACCAGTACTTATTCACGCAGTACAACCAAAACATGCTGTCACCACTGCATTGAGCAGTGAGATCAAGGAACAAACTTGCAGTGGCTCAATTCTTGACTTTAATAAAGCAGAATAATTACTTTAGCGAGAAGATCACATCGATTCCGGTTGGGTTTGATGAGTATCCCTTGATCCACTTCTTCGGAATCACCTTGAAGTCCTACGAGTCAGAGTATATCCTCCGAAAACATCCTGAAATAAACATTATGGCTAGAGATAACAGAGGAATTCCAGCTATCCTTTTCGAATATTTCTGAAATAACAACATTGACAATCATAAAAGATGGTTTTTATTTAAGCATCTCAAACGGATTTATTCTGCTAAATTCCTCAAACCACAGCGGAGTTACAAGAGAATTGTCCACTTAGAAAGAGAGTTTACCAGAGTCACTAGAATGGCTCATAAGCAGTCCGAATACCACACATACACTAAGGTTTTGACTCAAAAATATCCCCTTGTGAGGAACAGAGTCTCTCATTTTAAGAAAACTAGGAAGCACTTCAAATAAAATGCTTCAAAAAGAAATCGAAAATGACTATATTGAGGAAATCTGTGTAGAATTTTCTGAAGAAAAGACTCAACCCCTCGAAACCTTCACCTCAAACATCCGAAGTAAGCCATCCAAAATTTCTAAGAAAAAGTTCTAATATTTTAGCAAAATATAAGAAGAAATGTGAGAAATATACCAGAAAGTTTCACCCAAAGGTAACACTCTGAAGCTACATTTTAGGAGTCCTTTTCAGATACTGAAGATGAGCACTTTAGTAGCACAAAGACAGCAGCTGGGTTTGGAAGCCTGAATAATTTTCTTAATAACATGATGATCAATCCGAAAAATAAGATCGAAATTGATATGTCCCAAGACTTGCTTGTTAAGACAGAGAATATATCCATCAACCCCGAGGAGCACAGGAACTCAAAGGATTATGACAAGGAGATGACCTGTTTCTCTAAGTTAGTCCCTAAAATAATAAATTCAAAACAATCGCTAAGATTGAACTCCCTCAATACACAATTCAGGGATCACCAAGGAAGTCATAGAGTGATGGCTGAAAAGAACCTTCTTGATCCTTCAGTTGTTGATTGGTTTAAAGGTATGCTCCTTTTATAATTTCGTATAGAAAACCTCATCAGAAGGACTCCAGATAAAAATGCCCTTCAAAAATTACCAAGTTTCTGAATAGCTGATAAAATTAGTCCAAATATTGAAGAAATATGGGGAAAGCTGTATAAAATCCTTGAAACCCACAGAGATTATTACATTCAGGTCCCCATATGGGAGACTCTGATTGGCATCCTCATAGTCTGTCTTCTCAGCAACAAGAGGCTTGCTAATTTAGAGAAAATTATAAAAGCCCTAAAATGTGGTAAGAAGTACTTCCTTCATGACCTATTTTGTTTATACTACTCTTCCTTAAGTGCTATCCTAATGTTTGCAAGTAGACCAGCCAGAAGTTGCAGATTCTGTAACAGAAAACTCAAAATGGCTGATCTCCCAACTCGAATTGGTCTTAGGTTATCATAATGCTAGGGCTAAACTTAGAACCCGTAAGGTGAAAAGTCGTAATGAATGCAACATTAGGAGAAATGTAGGCTTTATTTATAAATTTTACAGACTTGAGTCATTAAGAACCAACTTCCTAAATCAATTTTTACCTGAAGGAGACCCTACAACAGAAGGAATAACATCTTTAAGATACATTCAGCACTAGATATGTATGAAAATAAATCGTTTCAGATGCCGATGCAGAAGTACAGAAACAAGATCATCAGAGAGAGGTAGTTTCATCCCTAACATTCTTAGGTCAACAATTGGCCCTAAAGACAAAATTGAATGAAAGACACTGAGCCAAGGTATTAATAAGATTTTTAAGTTATGTCTAAACTTCTTTAGTGAAAGAGATGAGCCAGCAAGCTAAATCAGCCAGGTTGATAAAACCCAGGCAGAAGCACATTCCAGATAGTTTCTTATTCAATAACGGAGTTGGGTTCAATGTCCCTAACCTTGGAATAAGGCGCAGAAATACTAACAAAACCCTGATGCAGAGGAACAGCTACCAAGCTGGTAACCATCTGTACTAAGCATTGAGAAAACTCTTAGGTTGTTTTATATCATTTTCTTACTAAATTCAATTGAAATCATACTTATTGGGGTTTTGGGGTTTTGGGGTTTTGGGGTTTTGGGG